GCAGCATGCTCGCGACATACAGACATATTGAAGCTGCTTGACCAAAACGGCCCCAAAAATTCCAGAGTATTATTGCTCGATGAGGACGATACACGTGGCATTTGTCGAGCTTTACTGGAATCTAACTGCTTTTTAGCTCTCAAGTTGTCGTTAATGCTTCCTTATGAAGCCATACGGTTGCAGTGTCTGGATGCGGTCGAGAGCAAGCTGGAGGAAAAAGGCGTGTCTGACGAAATTGTCCTTGACTATTTCTTTTTTATTCTCATTTTATCATCTGGAATTTTACCCAAGATCATAGCCCAAAATTCTTATGGCGCCATATTTTCTTACATTTGCTTCTTGGTCGGGAATTTCTGCCGGCGGGCCCAGGAGGCACGGGTGTTGGCCAATGAGAGCAAAGAAAGCCTCAATTTCCTATTCGTGGAAGTGTTGTTCCCCTGTTTCATAGCGGAGCTTGTGAAAGCAGGCCAGCACATTTTGGCCGGATTTCTGGTGACAAAATTCATGCACACGAATGCTTCGCTTAGCTTGATCAATGTTTCGGGGCCGAGTCTGAGGAAATTCTTCGAAGGGCATTTTCGGGAATTCGAGGAACGAGGGTCCCGGGAGGAGAATGTAAGCTTCTGCGAACCGCTGTCGAGCACTGTTGCCGGTTTGAGGGGCAATTTGGGTAATTTGATACAATCAGCAATGTCGTTTCTGGCAACTGATGTTAGATAACTAGGTGCAGTTTGCTCAACTTCACACACCATGTTTGGTTCATAGCTAAACTGAACGAGATTTTGTAGTCTGTTTTTGTTTTCTTATATTTACCATAGTTTTCTTTTTCTTTTGTTTTCTTTAAAAGATGAATTTATCCATGGACATTTACTTATCTTCAGTTAAAAATAGTATAGAATAATTACTTAATAACTCATCTCGGTAAATAAAATTGTACAAATAATAAACAAATACGTTTTGCGTCGGTAGAGAAAATTGGAGAAAGAAAAGAAACAAAATAAAATAAAATGGAATTGCCCTTTACTTTTCCTATAAAATTTTTATTTGGCCATAAGTCGAGCTGTAGATCGGTGCTGAATTAGTTAAAGTTCAAGTTCGGTTTGGTTGCTAAATTCTTTTGATAAATTGTTTGAATTTAAGCTCGTTTAATTTCATGAATGAAGTTAAGCTCCTATATATATCCCCGAACAATATAAATACATAATATTTCTTACCACGACATACTAGTACAAAATCCCGTGCGATGCACGGGTAAGAAATATTCATTAAGGTTTATAAATTTAAAATACTCATTAAATAATAATTATAAGTTAAAACTATGAAATCAATATGTAAAAAAATTTACCTATATTAATTTGTTAAAAAAATTATATGAAAGTTAAATATAAAACATGTCCATTTAAAATTAGTATACAACTCGTACGATGCATGTAACTAATAATAAAATTACATTATATTCGTTACAAAATAAGTATCATTTTAAAATTATTATTCAAAAATTCGATTTGACTACAATGTGATTTCATAAATAAATATTTTAGTAAAATTTTATCATATATTTGAAAATCTATGTGAATAATATGTATAATTATAAAACTTATATTGTAACGGAGCTAATTTGAATATAGACAGCTTATTTGAATGTAAAATGCTTATAAGCCAACTAAATGAACTACAAACTATCTTATTATCTTATGAAACATAACATGGAAAAATGAAAATATATTATTATCTTTAACATGTGACTTGTAAATCGAATAAAATTAAATTTACACAAATACACAAGTAAATTTACACTCCGCCTCCACCTCGACTCGGAATCTCGGGTTGAGGCCTCAGCCTCGGCCACTGGCAGATCCAATCTAGTTTGTTGGGGTCACAGGCCCTCAACAAATTGAAGATGCTAAAGAAGAACACTAAAATGCTTAAGAACAATTCATATAAGAGGAGGGCCGAGATGGTGAATTGGGGGAAAGGATTAGGTCCATAGTATCGTAGGCTCCCATTATATAAATGTCCTGGATCCGCCGTTGGCCTCGGCGCGACCGGCTTGACCTCGCCTCAGCCTCGGCGCGTCCGCCACGACCCGCCTCCGCCCCTAGTTTTTGAGTTAAAGGTTTGGGGAAGTTTGATTATTTTACATTGGTTTGCTGTTTTTTCATGCATTTTAAATTTTTGTGGCTTGGATTTGTTTGAAGCCTTACGTGGCCGGCCGGACTACACATGACTCGCTAGAAAATTCTCAACGTTCAAACAAAAAAAAGCAAAATGAGAAAATAATAATAATAATCCCAGTGGGACCCAATGCGTTGGAAATCTTATGAAAAACAAAGTTATGGACCGCGACACATCACCGCCCTATGGTTATATAGCTCACATATATTTTTTCTTGGATAATAATAATACCACGTGTAGCATATCTATATATATATATATATTATATTATATTATTATAATTTAATACTATATTTGTTTGAGCAATTCATAAAAGAAACTAGTATTATAAAAATGGTGCCAGCTGGCCCGTTTATGTGACACCTCATTTGTCTAAATTTTCAAAACAAAATCTCGATAAAGTAAATAATTAATTAGTTTTAAATGATTTTATTTTATTTTTTCAGAAAAATACATCTGTCGTTTGGTCGAATTGTCGAAGCTAGTCACCAATTTCAAGTCAATCTATGTCGAGTGTATTAAATATATTATTAATAAATTTTTTATTTATTTACTTGTAAATTAATTAATTAACATAAAAAGTAAAATATATAAATACTGTCTGAAATTAAACACAATACAAATTAACATACAGTAAAAAAAATCAATCATTAGAAAATCATTAAAAAATTCAATTCAGGAACAATTTCACCTTATTTAAGTTCAGCAAGAAGCTCGCAATGAGCTTCTAATTCGTCTTCGGTCATTGTTCAAGTAGTGTCCTCCTTTAGCATTCGACTTCAAAGACTCCATACGAACTAACTTTTTAAGTTGTCCATTCTATTGTTTATCATGTATATCCTTAAAATGTCCAAAGACTTGTAACATACTTTCAACTTTTTTATCAGTGTTCTTTTCACATTTTAAATTTATCTTCCTTGTCTTTGTTGTCTTCTGGCCAACTGGACGAGACACAACTCTCATCATCACCTAAACCCTGCTCGAAATCTTGACCAGATCCAGAAGTGTGATCTCCCGATTCAGACATTCTAGACTTTTTTTCTACTAGACTTACCATTATGACCCTTGAAATTTATGAGTATTTTTTTAATATTTTCCAGCCGTCACGCCATTTGAAGACTCATTTTTCCTTACCATCACTATTCAAATCCATTGATACACTTTGATAAGGTCGTGTATAAGTCCACGATGCACTTTCTAACTTTACATATAAAATTTGTAACTATAAATTTCTAATTAATGTTAAAAGGAACGAATAAGTTTTTTTTGGATAAATTTAATTCACATTAAATTAAAAGATATTGATAATTGAAACCTCTAACATGTATATCATGACTAATTTAAGTAATGCATGACGGCATAAATATTGTGGAGAATTTTTCAATGTTTTCAAGTTCAAATATAAACAAAAAACAAATTTCCTATAGAAAGACAATTGGGCAACTGTAATTGTGCTGGACTAAATAGCCGTTATAACAGTAAGACAGACGTTGGAAAAGGGTGTCGGGCCCATCCTCTCGTGGGTCGGTGAAAGCAAAACCCAACTTGGAACCTTGGACGGCCCAATTTCCACACTCCTAATTCAATTAACTTGTTCGAATACCGTACCGGATAAAAAAGTACAACATTTTTACAGTTTATTTCATGGGAAATAGTCTCGTTATAAAATCATTCAGTCGGGATTTGCAACCGTTAGATCATCCTGTAATCGTCAAGGATAGTTAATTTAACGGTTACAAACCTCGACAGATTCCGGAACCAGTTTCTCATGTAATTTTATTCCATTATAAATATGCACCATTCATTTCATCAAAGCTATCTCACTTCACACCACTCTCTCACTCTCACTGTCTCTCTCTATCTCACACTTCACTCCCCCATTGAGAATATTTTCCCTGTATCTATACACTCTCACTCTCTCTAAGCTTTTGCTCTCACTAAGGAAAAAAAAAAGGGAAAAATGACGAAGGAGGTGGCGGAGCAGGGTTCGTACGGGTCGAAGGACTACCACGACCCGCCGCCGGCGCCGCTGATCGACGCGGAGGAGCTCACAAAGTGGTCCTTCTACCGAGCGATAATCGCCGAGTTCATAGCTACGCTTCTCTTCCTCTACATCACTGTCGCCACCGTCATTGGGTACAGCAGCCAATCGGCCGCCGACGCGTGCGGTGGGGTCGGGGTGCTCGGCATCGCCTGGGCCTTTGGCGGCATGATTTTCATCCTCGTCTACTGCACCGCTGGAATTTCTGGTACCTTTGAACCCTTCAATTTTCCCCATTTTCGATGGCGATTTTTGATTATTTTTTTTGTCCATTAAAAATTGTGGAGCTATTTATTTACCAATAATTTTGTATTTATTGTGTGTATTAATTAATTAATTGTTGCTTGCAGGGGGTCACATTAACCCGGCTGTGACATTTGGGCTCTTTTTGGCCCGAAAAGTGTCTCTGGTGCGGGCCGTGATGTACATGGTGGCCCAATGCCTTGGGGCCATCTGCGGGGTTGGCCTCGTCAAGGCCTTTCAGAGCTCGTACTACAATAGACACGGCGGTGGCGCAAACGCGCTTGCGGCGGGGATTAGCACAGGAGTTGGGCTTGCGGCTGAGATTATCGGCACTTTTGTGCTTGTGTACACCGTCTTCTCCGCCACTGACCCTAAGAGGAGTGCAAGAGACTCACATGTCCCTGTAAGAACTTCTTCCGATCCACATTGTTATTGCTTTTCTTTGTGTGATGATCACAAGAAAGATGGTTGATTTCTATCATTTTTATTTTATTATTCATTTTTATTAATTAATTTTATTATGATTATTTTACATAAAGGGAATGGTTCCGTAAACGTACCGAGCATCTCCGAAAAATATATATATATATATATTTTTTGGTACATGGACCTTCTGGTTTCCGCATCCACAATGAAACCAACTAATCTGGAATCGAACCGCGTATATATTAGTTGTAGGAACATAAGTGATATAAAACTCAAATTTTTAACATGAAATAATACTAAAGGGAAATGTTATAGTCCCGTTACGGATTCATTCCGTCGGGGTTTGCAACCGTTAGATCAACTATATCTGACGGTTACATGATGATCTAACGGGTGCAAACTCTGACGGAATCTTTATTTCTCAATACTAAAATATATTTTTCTTTTAATAAATACAAACAAGGGGGCCCTAATAATTTGCGGGCCATGGGCGGTCAGCTCTGGTTTGAACGTTAGCTTGACAATTCAATATGCATCATGATTATACCATAAAAAAATACACTAGGTGGGAAGAAAAACTGAACTAAACAAAATATTATTAGTCTTAATAGTTGGTAATAACAACTTTATGATAATTAGCATATCTTTTTACCTCAGTTTTGTGAAAGTTCTAATAATAATAATAATAATAATAATAATGTTGTTTCTATACACGTGTTGTTCATGTAACGGTATGAAATATTTGATTGTCTCGGCAAGATTTTGTTAATAGACATATATTGACCGTTTGGCATGTATGGATTCGGATTGGACTTTTATTACATGCCGCACAAAAATTCTATGGAGCCACGTATAGTTTTCTTATGTGGTCATTCATCACTTAATGTATTGCCACCTGACCAAAGTATATTTATTGTAAGACATGTGACATTACGTTATTTATAATTAATTGTGGACGACTCCATAAACCGAGTCATGACTATGCAGAACATGTAATGTGGTCATGTGAAATACTAGTGCAATTGAGTCATGAAAATGTGCGTTAGAACTTGGGAGTTTGTAAAGAACATATATATATGTGGTAATGACAACTTCAATAGACCATGCTCAAAAAGTTGCTTTCAAATTTATTAACATAATTGAACACCTAAGGCATTAGAGGACAAAGGGCCACCCCAAAGCATGCGCCTTACAAAAGCTTATTATTAAAAGTAAAACAAATGTCAAAGATTCTCCCTTTTGTGGCATGATTTTTTTTTTATCTATTTTATTTTGGTTTGTGTACCAAATTTCCCCTAAGTTTTGCTTTTGCTAAATTCCACAAGCATGGGCTACAAATTGTTATTGTTAGGTCTTAGGTGCAATTATTTGTTGTCATTTGTGTACAATTATTGATACATATCATATTCAAGCACCAAAGGACAAGTTTTCAAGTATTTGTCATGTTTGAACACTTGATTAGCTTATATGATTTGCCACATGCACTGTCTTTTGCAATCTATTGTAGATCTTGCATTTTTTTTTAATGTGTTTTTTTTTTTAATGTTAGACTAATATATAATTGGAAAATGTAATAACTATTTTTTGATAAATTTTTTTGTTTTAAAAATAAAATAAAATTGTAGGTATTGGCACCTCTCCCAATTGGATTTGCAGTATTTGTGGTCCATTTGGCCACCATACCGATCACCGGCACAGGCATCAACCCGGCTAGGAGCCTTGGAGCTGCAGTTATCTACAACAATGATAAAACTTGGGACAATCATGTATATACATATATTTCCTTATTTACTTGAAAGATATATATTTCTCATATATAATTACTAATATAATTACTCTTTAAACATATCAAGTTCCTAATTATACGACATATTATTTATTAATTGATTTGATAATTGTAATTAATGAATTGCAGTGGATATTCTGGGTGGGACCCTTCATTGGTGCAGCCATTGCAGCTTTCTACCATCAGTTCATATTGAGGGCTGGAGCAGTTAAAGCCCTTGGCTCCTTTAGAAGCAGTGCTTCCCATGTTTAATTTCCTTATTAGTTATTAATTAGAAGAATACG